GATGTTTGTTTGTTAGAAGGTATCTCAAGTAGAAAGAGAAGAATCTTTATAAAATTGTAAGGCATAGATGTAGAACATGGTGTGGAAGAATACATAGGCACTTTTTTTAAACCCGTGTGGATATAGTCGCAGGCTATAGCTAGTATTTTTAAATTTAGAAGTATAGTTTATTTTTGTTTATCTGAAATTGATTTGTGTGTAAGGAGAATAAGAGGTGTTCTTATCTGCATTGTCAAATTTTTCCTTCTTCTATTTTTTTCTAATAGTATACAGCTGGGTCAACACAAAGCCTTGTCACTTCATAAAGGTTGAAAAAATATACTAATAATAAAATAGTATACTACAGTTATCATTTCGTAACTGTTGGTACTATTTCAAGAGCATAGTTTCTGGGGCAAAGGCGCGGCCGGAAGTTCAGTCGAATATTGCCGCTATACTTCCGTTCCACTGATTTATTTCGGCGCTTTTATATCGCGGAACGATGTCAGTGATCTTTGGTAATAAATGATACCAGAAATCCTACAGCTAAAGAAGAAAAAATACTATAATAGACCATGTTCATCATTACTACTAAACTATCATACGAAAAGTATAATACTATTTTGCATTTAAATTATAAAAGGAAGTAGTGCTTGTGAAGTTTTTATATGAAACTAGCTGTCGCCCGCGACTTCGTCCGCGCCGGATTAAAAATAGATGTTGGCCGATTCTCAGACCCACTCAATATGCTCACAAAATTTCATGAGAATCAGTCAAGCCGTTTCGGAGGAGTATGAGAACGAAAATTGTGACACGAGAATTTCATATGTAAGATGTAGAATTCATTGATTGATTTTATATTCTTATTGTTTGCCTTTTTGAAGGCAGAAAAACAATCTGTTGTATATTTTTTTTTAGGTTAGGGCCAGCGTTGGGGAAAGTTAGCAGTTAGGTTAGTATCCTATTAATAGGTAGCTTTCAGCGTACACCCGCGCTGCCAAGTGATTACTGTCACTGTTAACCTTGAAAGTAACATTAGTCATGTGAATGTTCCGCATTCATGACAATTTATAACTTGTTAATAACAATAACTATTCATTGACTAACAATGTACACGAGGCTGTTCTTACATTTTTATAGGGGATGACTATATTTTCCTTCTTAATGATTCAAATCATAGAGCATTGAAGTTTATGCGTGTTGCCTCTATTTCTTCAAAGATTATTTTTTGGAAGCATCGATAGGGGAAACCCGTATGTAGATGATTATTCTAGCCTTTATTTTCTTATGTTTTCAGTGAAAAGAACACGTAACGCAATGTAAGGAAACATTTCATTCAGCTTAGTATAAAATCTTGGCACTACAGTGATGTAGTGTAGGTTATTTCCCTTATACAGCGCATTTATGTTAGTATACTGAATACATTGTGACTTATTTCTTGACTATGTCTATTGAGCAATATAAATCGTCATCTCAAAGAATTGTGGTTGGTGATTAATGTAATTATATTGATATTATGTCTTAGTATGTGGGGAGTTCCGTTCATATATGATGTAATTCTTATACACGGTTCTATAATGTATATGTGAGTTTCCACTGACGGAAAACATTTGTAGAAACGTATTATCCGTTCATTCTCTTAGAAAATCCAGAGATAATGTGTTGTGGTATTTGGCAATGGAAACAACGTCTAGTCAGAAAACTATTTTCAATCTTAAACGACGTAATTTATTGACAGAAAACACCTAAACTTTCCGCAATTTATTACACAACGCAACAGGGGCTAATTAAGCGTCGTTTATACTTACCGGGTCAAACAAGTTAGTCTGACTATGGTATAATTGAAGAAACAATATCGTAACGTAGTTGAAACGTAGTCGTCTCGTAGTCGCAGCGATCTATCTATTGGTGCAGGCGTAACGGCGTCGCATACCGTCCTCGGTCACGTAGCCCGTTACATTCGCTCGCCATACGGAACTGTTCCATTTATAATATTGTTATACTGTATATGTACTACTCTATACTTCAACGCAATACATAATACAAAAGAAATAATGAAAATTCTGTAAAAAAAAATCAAAAAATTGCGCAATTTCCTCTTGATCCACTCTTTGTATGATCTTGCTTTCTTCTCTCAACTCTTAAATTTCTCTTAAAAAGATGTCAAAAAGTATAGATTGATATGAATCGACTTGTCATACTAAATTCCTAATTAGTTCAAATGTTATAGTATAAAAGTATTCAAACTTAATATAACAGTTTCGAACTAAAATATAAATCCATTAGAACAATCTTAATTTGAAATTCAAACTACGAAAGCCTATTTAGGAGTAGTCTAAGATCATGTGCTCTTCAAACGACAATCAAATGATAAACCGCGCACTAATTGCCAATTTGCAGGCTACCGTCTTTCATATCAGCCACAACAGTAAACTCAATATTAAAACGATAGCTAAATTACCATATCGTAGGCACGCTCTGAATCATATACCTTTGACTATAGACAAACGGACTAGGCGAACAGCCGTCGGCTTGCCGTTATATTAAATAAATTCTGCACTATTAACGGGAAGTGAGTTAAAGAGGACAATCACAAATGTATTTATTGACAATATTACGCATACAGACACAAGAATTTGTACGAAACAAGGACAGAAGCAAATAAGTGTAGAACTTATTGTTTGTTTTTATTTGACAGAGAACGCGGTGAATGACGGGTCCTGTCATTTAAAATTCAAAGGCACTGAAGGCCGATTTCACCCATTAGCACAGTTTATCCTTAACAATAAGCAATAAATCCTGCATCAATTCTGGACCTTATTGCTAAGAAATAGGCGCTCCAGTTTTTAATCGAAGCCGGTATGAACAACTCCTGAGATTGGTCGCATAGAAAGTGTTCCAGCAAGGGTGACCATGCTGATAGAATCAAATGGGATATCATTATCTTACCTTATAGAGACTTCCATAAAAATAACCAATAAGATTGTCTAATTAAGTCTTTCTAATTAAAAATAGGGAAAAATAATATTGGAATTTCAGATTTTTTTGTTTAGATTTCGTTTCATTTTAATAGCATTTTTATAGCTCAAAGAGAAATCACGGCCACGTTAAACGACATTAACATTGAATCTTATAATTAAAATAAGCTTGTGCCAAATCGTTTAATCAGATTGAAGAACAATTCCTGGGTTTTAATGAGCTTCGATTATCATTAACATAATTAGTTTTGGCAAAGAATTTCGCTATTAAAATTCCTAAGATCTTCAATGTTCAAGTATTATTAAACTGCCAATTTTAAAACATTGAACAGCGGATTTACTTTAGAATAAAATGAATATACTTGCAAGTATGATTATTTCCCAGAATACTACAAATTAAAATAAATTATCTGGGACTTTCCCAGTGTACGCTTCTTACATAGTCACCCTAGCTTAATTGTAGTGTCCATGCTATGTCGCCAGGCGGCTGCACCATTGTCAACGGTCTCTGTACACAGCAAACTCGTGCCCACAAATTGACTGCAAGCAACATTGCGACGCAGTGGTTAATACTTTATAATCTACAAAAGTCCTGGTTCGTATCCCGCTATAAACCATTTTTTTTTCGAATTTCGAATGAGCATTTAGAGAAGGGATATTGCCGCGTTTACATAACGTCGATACCTATAATTCTGTTAACCAAAATTGTAAGCTGCTGTAAGTTTGGATAGCATTATACTTATGGTTATTTTTATTTGCTTATATCGTGTTTATTTTCTGAGATGATTGGTTAATATTATTATTATAAACAGTAATTATAGTTAGCTTGTGTCATTGATATTGTTTAAGTTGATTATATGCATTGTTTTTGTTGTTAAATTTGTTTCATAACAAGTTTTTAGATTATGATTAGCTCATGACTTAACGGATGTAATAGTTGCAGTTTCCTGTTGCTTCAGTTTAGAACCTAGATCTTCAAATACATTATCTATGTTATAGATAATTTTTAATCGCAATTATGAACTTTAATCGGTTAAAGACAGAGTTTTATTGAAAAATCTATTACTATCAAATCATGGAATATTAAAACATAAAAAATATAGTAATTACATTATTTATTACATAATCTCTTTATTTTAAGAATATGAATCCGATTTAAATACCAGAAATTAGTTCCGATCGCTTAAACCAATCAAGTTATGATGTCCCGGTTTAAGTAAATCAAACCTATAATAACCGAACAAATTGATTTAGCAAAAAAAAAGTTCGGCAATAAAGTTTTATATACTAGTAGAACGCATTGCGTAATGTTGCAAGAGATAAAAAATATAACGAGATATCGATTAAGAAATCGCTCGATTGTCCCTCACTAGCTGGCCAGTCTCGATCGCCGCGTCGTACACAACGGACGTGTGTACTGCGCTCCAGTTATTTAACATTCGCCCGCGCGATTTAATTAGCGTTCTATTTTTAAACGAGATATTGCTATTATTATCATCATCTGGTAATTGTGTTTTAAATTATTTATGTTTTTTTATCTTGAGTGCGTGTATACTGTGATATCAGTTTGCGGTCTTGTGATTTGAATGATAAAATAAATAAACTTAGTACATAGCCCCATTTGCTAAAGCCTTTTACGACACACAACTAGTGTCGTGTCTAATCTCATCGCAATCTCTTGTCAACAGTTTGTGTTGTTTTATCTTTTGAGTTATCGACTTGTGACTTCACGGAAACTTGTGCACTGCAAAGTGAATTGTCACTGATTGCGTCTAGCGAAATAACACTTCACTTTTTATCTTTATTAACTGTAATTATTTATTACTTATACTAAATAGAATTTGGTTACGATAGAACAGTGGTGATAAAGGATGATCGCGAAGTCTCGAAGAATTGCGGCGACTTATTTTTTTTTTGAAAAGTGTTCGGGACTACATCTTTCACTATAAAGGGATAATAGTTCACAAGGATACAAACTGACAGCTTAGTTTTTATATACGGAGTTGATAAATTGTAAAGATTAAATTGGTATTTTATTTGCAGGTAGTCGTAAGATGGACAGTTGGTGTGTGGTGGGACAGTGAAGTGGTAGTGTTGTGCGTGAGGGTCTGGACGTCTGTCTCTGTTGATGATGATGTGAGCAATGCCCTCGGACAGCGGAGCCGCGTGGGCGCCGCCCGCCTCGGGCGAGCGTCGGCTCAGCAACTCCTCAGATGGCAGTGCCGGCAGCGGATATTCCAAAACTGTAAGTCATTTTACACTCATCATTATCATCATCAGGCTGTATCAGTATGTCGTCAACCTTCTAAAATTCCTTACACAACAGCTGACAAACTGCAAAGTTGAAATTAGAAGATAATATAAGGCAATAGCTGGAAGTTGTGTATCGCAACGTCAGTTGTTTTCCAATACAGAATACAGGGTGTCCAAACATATTAAATACTATAAATTTTATTTAGTTATGAGTTATAAAATACTCTGACAGTATTAAGAACATTTTTGTATTTAGTATTATTTATAGTATAAAATATACACAAACATAAGTGATACTGCGATAATACAAGTATCAAGATTGTTAGGATAAGTAGTCTAAAGGACAACTGTTACTGATAAGCAAAATATGTTCACTTTGATAACTGTGAACATCGTGTTTTTATTACTAATTGTGTTAATAATCAATTTGATTTCTACAATAAATTAAAAGCATCAAATTGTTCATTGATTTATTTATCGAGTTAATGTTTTTGATTACGATTGGCATATTTCAAATACCTTATGTAATAGTATGGTTTGAAATTATTAATTTGCCATACATTTGCTCTACATATTTTTATTGGTCAAGTAGTTTTGCATTCCGTGAGAATTAAACCATAGTTAAATTGCTATGTAGTAACACAGCCTTGGCGTTTATCGATTGTTTGAAATTGTTGCGAGTCGACGTGAAATCACCGTTGTGTCGTATTTATTGACAATTCGAGAAGCTATTAACAACACGTGATAGCAGTTGTTATATCGTTAACTTCTGTCGCGTCATTAGCATGTTTGAAAATAACCGTTTGTTTGTCGCTAAAATTATTCGTAAATATTATGATGTATAAAAATATTTATAAATATTTTATTGTATATAATAACACGCGTGCGTTATAATTAAATCATCCCTTTGATTCAATCAATTTTTTTTTATTGAAACGCTTGTATAAAAAAACACATACTGTATATCTTTTTTCAAAGAAAATAAAATATAAGTAGATATGTTTTTGTAGATGGATGGTTAATGATGGTCTGAGAGGTCATGAGAGGTCTGGATGAGTGGTCATAGAGATTTACATTAACACCATAAATATATTGCCAAATTGTCAACAGATCTCACGCGTTCGATTCATTTTGAATCCTCCTGTATTTCTAATTTCGACGTTCAGTCGGAAACGGACTTCCTACCTTTATGAAAGCATTAAAAACGTCACACCATGTATAACCAAGTCGATTAGCAAGGATGTTACCTATTAATAATAATTTGCATATCCTTTCTCACGATACATTTGCAAATCAAAATATACTTTATTTTTAACGGTATATAACACAAATTCCAGTAATCAGTTCACACCAAGTAGTACAGTTTGCAAATCTCTGAGGTCGACTGGTTGTAACCTACGCGATGACTAACAACTTTTTTTCCTATTTATCGTGTGTCAAGGCCTTCACCATTGTTGGTTATATTTAAATAAGGAGTAACCAGTTTATTTAGTCAGCTACAAGTAGGTATTTTTATGTTAAACTACTGATTAAATCTCGTAGATAAAACGGAATTTTAATTGGGAAGTCATGTTTGTCTTCTAAATATTTCTTTAAAGAAACTATAGATATTTTTGGTTTTATAACAATTAAAAAAATTAAGTTTTTCATGGAAAAAATGCCTAAAAGTTAAAGAAATTTAACAAAATATGTGTACGATTATTGTACACATTATAATTGCATTAAATTGCGTCATTTATTGATTCATACCATCGTCATTAATGATATTTACTTGCAACAATCATTAACTAGAAATTTTACTACTTTTACTAAATCTGAATGTTTAGATGTATGGATGAACGTTAGATGATAACTCCAGAACAACTAAACGGATCTCGATGAAATTTGGCACATAAAAAAGTAGTCGGGAAGAACACATAGACTAATTATGTTTTATTATTACTGCGCGAACGGAGTCGCAGGCTGCGGCTAATATAGTAATAAATATAGATAATTAAAATATATGCGTGATTGCAAAACGCAGTTGCATAAACGACCTTTGTACGCATTGCAACTACGCATTGTATTTTATGATTTATTACATTTAAACATTCCTTGCTTATCAATTAGCTGCAATAGGTTATCTGGTTAAGTCTTCACTAGAATGTACGTATGATATTTTAATTGTGATAAATTTTCTGTTAGAATTTCGAATTTCAACTTTGTGATGTGGCGATAAAAATACTAAAAAAATGGCGCTAAAACTAAAGTCATATCTTCTTTATTAGCTATTTTTATGTTAAACTAATCAAACTTTCGTGAGACATTATACTAAACTGATATAAAAACGACTTAACTCTCACGTATATTCGACCGGTGTCGGCACCGACTAGTTTCGAGCCAATCGGGAACCCTTCATCAGGATGAGTGGTACGGGTATTATTTCGCGGACGCGGCCCGTCGCTGATTGCGCTGAATATACGTGAGTGTTTAGCCGTTTTTATATCAGTTTATTTTTATGTTAGTTAGAATTTCTTAGTCACAAATAATATTCTGATAAAGATATTAAGTTTTATTTGTGTGAAATTGTTATTAAATTTCTGTAAATTATAAATTTTTATTTGATTAAATTTTATTTTATTTTCACAGTTAGTTAATTTAATTTTAAATTAAATTGACAAAGTAATTCGAATGTTACGTTTAAATTAAGATTTTTGTCACAGTTCCAAAAGTTATCTTTAATGTTTAAAATAGTTAATTGCTTGTATTTTGGTGCACAATTGTATGTAGGAAGATCGAAGCGTCCTTGTAAACTTCCATATACAAAGCCGCACCTGTCTGGTATTTGCCGTAACTTGACCTTCAGATTGCACCGTCCATTATAAATGTCAGAGGTCAAGGTATAAAAGTTATGGAATTTGTTATCGTAAATCAGTATCATAGCTTTCCATTGTCTATTGTCTAATTTATTTATTTAAAATATCTATTTATAAATAACATAATAGGTTATTACATCACATTTATTAAGATTACATCAAAAAATAAAAAAAAACTTTTTCGTTGAAATTTGATGTTTTTCGAAATTACAAGCAGACATTCCAATTTTATTAATACGATAAATGTGTGTTAAAAATACATTAAATTGTATAAAATAGTAACGTAGTGTACAGAAACCGGTAGTCAATAAAACATGGGGACATTTTAAAAAGTTGTTCCCACTTCTCACCCCAGATGGCACGCGGTGAAAGGTCTCCGTCACTTGACAACCTTGGCTTTTTTATACATTACATTATATATTTACGTATCAATAAATATACCTTATTTGTTTTTCAATTACGTAGGTGGATATGTAGATTTTAAACTTTAAAGAATCATTAATATCAGACCTAGAGTTTGATAATTAATCTATCACAATTCTAGTTTTATCTTAAACTGTCGAGGTATTAAAAAAAATAATTAGTAGTCTATGTGATATTCCGGACTATGTTCTACATCTATGCCTTATTTCATGGAGATACAGCAGTTCAACAAACTTCCATCTATACATTCGCATTTATAATATTAGTAAGATTTGCGTGGTGAATAAATTGGCATCTAACGATCCGTCAGCAACCGACCTAATCATGAATTTAAATTTCTCAAAAGCGGATTCTAGGTAACATTGTAAAACAACTCTAATGTCTATGAGCTACGTAAACTACGGATTTCCGTTTTTTTGTGCCATAATGAGGGAAAAGAAAGTGTATTGCGGTGTTACTGAGTTACGTAACGACAAAGTAAAACATTATACCAGAGGGACTTGATTGACAGCAGTATTGGTCATTGCTTTTTTATTTAAAAAGTAAAAAAAAAGTAACAAGGGTGTACAATATCTGTAAATCACGTTTGCATTAACAAATGAAATATTTTGATACTCATCAGTGGATGTGGAATATAACATTGAACATGACATTTTATGTCAGATATTTTATTACTTCGTATCCATACCACTGCTATAAACCGCTACCAGAAGCGCCAAAATGGCGAAAATCAAACAGGCACAAAATACTACGTCGTATAGCCTGTCCATTTATATAAATTAGTGTTTTAACTACAGATTGTCAATGGCTCGATAAGAGGTTTGTTTTTTGTTTGTTTCATTTGAAAATACACATGTAAAATATGGGTATAGAAACGGTTATGAAAGAAAAACATGACACGACAGATACAAAACATTGCAACACTTTTTAGTAATTATTAGGAGGTTGCTAGTGATGTACCATAATTTAGATTTATGTCCACCGGGACAGTTTACTAGCCATCCGAACCGCTCGCTGCCTCACTAATGGAAAACAAGATCATACGCTATCCGCTTAGTAGAAATGGAATTTAAAGATTAAATTATGAATAAGAAAGATACCGAATCAAATCCAGGAAGTACAATAACAGTCGCTCTTGACCTAGCTGTTAATCCAAACTGATTTGCATTCAATCAAATATAGAAAGCTCTTATTGCGTGCGTACAACCATCATACTGAAACTAATTCAATTTGCATACACCACGCTCTTTGTAAATTAAACCCTATTTCTATAGTCATAAAGTTGATCATTTCAAACGAGGTTAAATCTGTCACCGTTACAATAGGGTAGATTGAAAGTAAATTGATAGGGTATTTACGAAACTAGTCGTATGACACACTTCCAATGATCATGAACTTCATATGTGCCCAAATGACACACTTTGGATGTATATAATCCGGCTTACATTTTATCTATTATGTTACGGTTGAATGGTTAATATAGGCATTATGATAATTGTCTAATTACGTTGACCGTAACATTATACTTTCTGAATTTCAAACTGTGAACAACGTCATAAGTAAATCTGACCTATTTAATCTTCATACATGCCACCTTTCCTCGCGTACTATTTGGACCGCAATGAATAAAATATGACATTAACTGGAGCGTTCCACTTACATTGTTCCTTTGCTTCGCACGTTTCACGACGCTATACGAAGCGAGTAATGAAGA